AAATTACTCAGTAACATATTTTTTAATTTAGAATACTTAAATGAGAAATAACTTTCACTTTTGTTAAAATATTTTTCAATTTGAGTTAAGTGGTACAATTTTCATTTATTTAAAAAAGAAAAAATAGTAATTAAGTAGAATACAAAATGAGTGAGCAAATTCAATTAAAAATGTTTTAAAATTAGAGCGACACAATGAACGATCTAAAAATCGCACATAATCATGCCACAGATCAGAATTACGATTACGTTGCGCCGGTTAGTTTTGCAATTAGCCTCGTAATCAGGACAGTCGCGATTCAGTCGTTACTCACGCGTGTTGGGTTTCCAATAAAATTCACAAGTGAACGGTCGTTCGGTGTTCATGTAAATGAACAGGTTTACGTAATGTCAGGATTATTATTTCTTTTTCTGCTCGCACCCCTCCCCCTCTGATTACTTCTTCGGCGAGATTCGCGGAAGTTGTTTCCACGATCCAAAGGATCTTTCGCAGGCTAATCAATTGGTCGCGTTTCACGCGGCATAATCGTTTGGTAACGGTTGTTTATGAGATGGTAAAAAGGCGAACTAAGAACCCCGCTAATGGAGAACAAGTAGACCAAAAGTGTGGAAAAGATCCATGGTAAAATGGTCGAACAAATTGAACGATAAACCGAAGCGATAATTAGCGACAAATCGGACATGCGTGTCATTTGTACTGGTTACAATAATTATGGTGAAAATAAGCGTTAAGTTTTGATTGTTAAAGAAGTGTTAACTGACTAAATTTCGCTTTGTCCAGCTTGAACTCGTTCTCTTCTCCATTTCAAGTGTACCTGCTAACGTTGTCAAGGTTTGGTATACGATCTCTACCATAAACCAGAGATTTACGACTATGGTGTCAGAGTGAAATTGATCAAATTGCTCCTTGTTTGTAAATCTTTCCAACTATAAACCTGTCTATTGCGTATCGCACTTTCCGGCTTGCCGGAGTGTGTGTAATATTGCTAACCTCACTCAGTGGATTTCTGTTGACTTTTTCGTCGTTGCATTCAAGGTAGGAAATTCTAAACTTCGAAATAGAGTTCTACGTGATCATTAAAAATGTTGATTAAAAAGGGAATTTTCACACGAGGATCGGTTTCTTTACGTTTAAATGCTTATTCTGCATCGGGTGACGGAAATTCATTCGAGACAGAACTTTGATAAAGGTTCTTCAAAATTGAATAATTCAGAATTTTGGGATAAAGAGTTGAAACTATCTTTGAACAAAGTTTCCTAACATTGATGTGATCCTTGAAGTCTTTATTAATCTCTCACTTAATTACAACCTTCTCTAATTAAAGAAAAGGAATTCGTAACTTATTCTTTACCTCTGTATTAAAAGTTAATTCTTCTCGAAATGGAAACCATCTTCGAACAAAATTTCCTAACGTTACTATGATCCTTGAAGTCTTTATTAATCCCTCATTTAATTACAAGCTTCTTTAATTTATGAAAAATTCCAAAACTGTATCACTCTTTGTTCCTACATTAAAAATTAATTTTTCCCAAATTAAAATCATCTTTAAACAAAACTTCAACTACTTATTATTCAAACTATACGTGCATCGTTCTCCGGAAATACCAGCAATACCCATAAACTCGTTTGCGATTATTCCATTAAAAAACGAACAGAACAAACCTACGTAAGGTCAACGTCAACAGCCATAAAATTCAGCAGCGCGCAGTGGAGTATTTGTATGAAAAAGTTGGCCAAAATTATTTTACCGGTTTCAGCGGAGCCAAATACACATAGACGAATGAAACTTAATTATTTCATTCAATTTTACATGAGAAACTTAGAAACAAGCCAATTTACACATTCTTCTTTACACAAAAATTTACTGCTGTGTCTCAAATAATTTACCGTAATATTATAGGAATGTTAGATTGCAGACAGATTTTTCTCACAGAGAATTCAAAGCACCAACAATTATATTTTGACTAATAACAGAAATACATTCGGTTGCGCTATAAAAATTTGAATTTTGGCCAGCTTTTTAAACGAGATACTCCACTGTTCAGCGTCGAGAACGGAAAAAGAACCGTATACGAAAAATTCATCAAGGACTTACGTCATTTATGGTAGACAGGATTGGAGCTGCGTCGATCGAGTGCACGATCTTCCACAGTCTTCATGTTTCCATCGTTGCGTCTGTCGAGATCCTCGGTGTCATCACGACGACGCGACGAAAACGACGAAATGTTCACCACGATTCGATCCACGTAATCTCAACGACGAACTATCAAGTTTATTTTATTCAGATCGAAGATCCTCGATGAAAAAGACCTTACTTCCGGCGTGACTTAAACGCGCACCAATTTCCTGTGATCACTGCACATCAACACACTAACCGGCTCCTTCGACGTTCTATGTTCTTTCTTTTTTTCTTTTTCGATACAAATGGAATAACAGGCAAGTTTCAGCGAAGAATTACAATTTCCCTTTTTTTCTTTTTCGGAATAAATCTTTTCGCGAAATTCGGTAAGGAAGAATTCATGCGTTTGCTCGGTCGATAACGAACGCGTTGACACGGAACGGTGTTTTCGAAATTTCTCGAGTTGAAAGGGAAATAATGTCGCGTCTCGAAAACTAGAGAAAAGAATGTTTCACGTGTGTCGCGCGCGGTGATTCGCGGCTGACTGCGCTCTTATAGCTCGTTATGCCCCCTCGATAGCAGGTAGCTGCCGTCGCCGATTTAACGAGCCTAAGAGGAGGACTCGTCGGTAAACAAAACGCGGACTGTCGAAATGGAAGTGGTCACTCGGTGAAAAGAAGTCGAAGCTTTGATATTGCGGTGACGTTTACGGTGGATTCTTGTGAAATTTCTTTCAATTTAATAGGAAGTGGTTGTGTATCGAGCCGCTTTTTTAACGTTATCCAGGTTTTGGTCATTTCGCTTGGTTTCAATTGTTTAGAGAATTGTGGTTGGGAAAATTGTGGGTAAAAACGACGTTGTGTACGATGTTTGTAATGGTTCGTTGTAAAGGATATTTGAAGTGAATCATGATTTTATAGAGTGAATGAATGCGGAGTTTCTTTTTTTTTATTAAGCAAGATATTGAAATAGAACGCGCTTTTTAAGAAGAATTAGAATAACAGCAAAGATAGTATGAAATTGTTGTGAAATTAAACATTAGACGTAGCAATCGTAAGTAGTTATTTATAACTGTAACAAACATAAGTAGTTAAATTAAAAATTCTTTTAACCCTACATGAAAGCTATGAAAAGCAATTTCGTTTAAACAAGATTTGATGTTTTTTTTATATTGCATAAAATAGAAGCTGCTTCTGCCTTGTAAGAAGAATTAAAATAGTATGAAATTGAACATTGGATATAATAATCGTTATAGCTGTAATAGACATAAGTAGTAATTTCAAAAATCTTTTAACTGCACATGAAAAGCAATTTCATTTCAACATGATTCGACACTTTTTTATATCGTACGAAATAGAACGTGCTTTTTAAGAAGAATTAAATAATATGATTTAAATAATACGAATATGAATTAATAATATTAGATAATATGAAATTGTTACGAAAGCAGACATTAGATTTAGCAATTACTATGAACAATCATAAATAGTTACAGCTACGACAAAAGTGTATTTAAAAAAACTTTTAACTAGATAAAAACAAGGAAAAGCAATTTCATTCGAACAGACATTTCCAATATTAATGAAACGGCAACAACAATATTATCCACGAAGCGGTTAATCCTTCAACTGAAACCAATTTTCCTACGTTCAACTACGATACCAACGATCAAGCTATTAAAACTACAACTACCATTACAATTATCAAGGAATTAAATCACACCGAACAATGAGGCTGCCACGAATCCCTTCACAATTTCATAATTACCACCACTTTTAAATTACCAATTTCATTATACCCACGAAAGACCGAACCGAACCGATAACAAAATGAACAACCAGAATCACGAAAAAAAAAAAAAAAAAAAAAAAAAAAAAAACAAAAACACCCCTGACTCTGTGTTACCGCCAGAAGTGACAAGACACGCAACATCGGACGTTCAGCAAGAGCCGCTTCCTGACACTAAAGTGAGTCTCGCGCGGTGGTATCCCATAAGACCGCGAACGCGTTCACCTTTCAAGCTTCTCATTAGCCGTGTTTTCACCGACCGGCAACCTCGAGCGTGTGCAACAACGAAATCAATTTCCTTGGAACGGAAAGACGATTGCCGCCCAGCTGTCTACTCCATCCGCAGAAACGGTAACGTTCAAAGGCGAACGTTTGTTCACGTGAACTACAGGTAGATAGGTAGACAGGCGACAGGTGTAACTTGGCAACAAAACACACGATTCCTTTTCTCCGGTTTTACAAACGCTTGCTCGCGGTATCTGGCACAAGTGCATCACCGTACACCGTGCACGTACGGAAGACGTGCACTTTCGCTGTCAATTCCAACAATATCGTCCTTACAAAACGCTTTGTAACTGTATCTGATAACCAGCCTGTTGCTCCCTTTCCCTTTTTCTCTTTTTTCTCTCCCTCTCGATATTTTATACTCTCTTCCTACCGGTGGAACGAAAACGATCGAAGCGACGAGATCGAACGAAGAATACAAACAGAATGACGGAGGAACCTCGGATTTAGAGACCTCGTTTTTATCTTTTCCTTTCTTTTTCCTTCTTGTCCGCGCCCGTTTTGTCACGCGTTTCCTTCTCCTCTCGAGCTACGATATTCGAATTCACCGGGCATCTCCTTCGAAACGACAAAACACTAGCCACCCTTCCTCTCTGTCCGTTCGATGAAACGAGAGACACCACCAAGGAGATGAAGAGTGTTTCCCGTATAATCGAAGGATACGCGAGGAGGAATCGACGAAACGGGGAGAGGAGAGAGTGTCTGTGTGCCGAGTGCACAGCCGCGGATTGGAAATTAATGCGAATGCGCGAGCGGACTCGGTCTAACTGCGGACGACGATACCCGTCGACGTCGGTAGCAAAACGCAGAAGGTGGGGAAACGATCCAGGGACTGGGGACTACCTCGCCACTACTCAGCGATTGTGATTGTCAGTGCACGAGAGACCAGAAGAGAAGGTTGCTCTCCTCGCTTCAACATTTCGCTACGCCACTGTGTGCCGACCTGGCTCGTTTCAAAATCGGGAAAGTGGTCGGTTCCAGGAGGGGCTTACTGTCCTTCTTGTCTATACAGGGTGACAAGGAAATAGGTGGCCGAACTTTGGTATTCTACTTGCTCCTGGGGATGAAAACGGGGATCGTGGAAACATTGGTCCGAAAACTCTTCTTTCCCGAGATACGTAGACACTTCTCGATTAGGAATGTTTGAAAGTTACTTGAAGTTACCTTCAAAGACTGTCGAAGATGTTCAACAATTCTTAATTTCTTCGTACACAGCAACAATACGGCTTTTCGGACATTTTAAAGTTGTTGTTGTTGTCATAAACTGAACATGCTGCCTTCAGTGTAACGTATTATTTATTTCTAGAAATCACGACAGTGCTTGAAATTCTAGTGAATTTTCGGTGTAAGCAAAAAGTGTGTATATCTCGAAAAGGAAGAGTTTTTGGATCTATGTTTATGGGACCTTTTTTCATCGTTAGGAACAGTAGAGTACGGTATCAATGTTTGACCGCCTATTTCCTTGTCACCCAGTATAATACCAAACGCGTCGTTTGTATACCCTATTTCAAACGCTATCGATATCGTATAAATACTGGACGCTTTAACGATCATGCTCGATCGACGTTTCCTGAGACTGCCTCTATTACCTCTAAGCTTCTCCTTCGTTCTGTTGTACCGATTCTCTCCATAACAGGCGATTCGTTAGACGAACTCTGTTTTTGTAGATAGCCTGTGCTGGCTAATTTTCTCTACAATCGATGGCATCTTGTTCGAAGTCTGTTGGAATTAATTAGGATGAAGAGAGAGAGAGAGATTGTAGAGCTGGAGAAAGTACTTGAGCGCCTAAGATGGTTGAGAGAGGATGGTGGACGATTCAGATCGGGTAGTTGCAATGTGATTTACGGTTCATGATCGTCGATGCTCTATCGTGGTTCAAGAAGTTTGGAGATTTAGCATTATGGAGGTGTTACGTAAAAGTACGAGATGGAGGTGGATTTTTTTTGTTAAACCTTTGCACTCGAAAGTCCTTTATTACTATAAGGAAATAGCGAATCAGAGCTTGTTTGCTGAATGAAATTAATGAAATTTTTTAAAACTAACATAGAAGTAAAATATTGACGAATATAACTGTTTCACTGCTAAGACCTCTATCGTATAGTGAACAATTTATGGAGGTCCATAGACCTGCTGTTCTGGAAAATATTAAGAGTGTCTCCATTAATTATTCACCAAATGGTAAATAGAATAGTAATGTCTCTTCTTGGTCGCCTCTCGAGTGCAAAGGGTTAAAATAGATTGTCGCAGTGATTATGTATTAAAATGTATTAGGACAGTTGCTCGATGTGAAGGAAATTTAAACAATCGCTACATCGCTATAAATTTAATGAAAATATAAATAAACTGAGTGTTAATATGGAAAGAAGAATGTAAAGGAGGAAGAACTAGGGAAACTATAGGAAGAGTGTCAAGAGGAATTAAGTTATAAAAATAGGAAGATTTGTAGGAGAAAGAATTGTCAATAATAAGGAATTATTTTGGTAGAATAATGGAACAAC